GGATAAATGATGGGTTATGGGAACAAGAGATACTTGCATGTCACCTAGCAGGGGGTGAAGAATTACTAAGTTTGTTTATATTTGTTGTGATAAAGATTGGAAGTCACTTCTTTAAATATTTCTTTTCTCTTTTTCTTATCTTTTCCTCTTTCTCATCTTTTTTTCTTTTCTCTTGCTCTTTCTATTCTTTATTTTTCTTTTCCTTTCTGAGTTTAGTTTGTATTGCTTTTTATTATTGTTGTTAAAAATTTGTCAGTAAAAATGATTTTTTAAAAAAAGAATACAGTACCAGGATTACATGGGGCGGGGGGACATCACCAGGGCCCCAGAAGTTGTGCTTCTCTTTTGGGGCTCCCACTTTGTGGCGTAGACTTCCACCAAAGGTCAACGTGGCAGCAACGCCACCATCTTTTCGGAAAGGCCCCAAAGCAGAGCTCTTCTGCAAGGCCTATGAAAACCGAGGTTGCCCAGCGCCAGGGTGATGCTGCGGACTGATGGATTCAATTTATATAACTGCCCAATCGACATGCAATTCCAGGTGGCATATACAATTAAAAAAGAAAAAGCCAATCAGAATTATAAAAATAAAACCTAATACTATATAATAAAAAAATCTTGCACTGGGACAGCTCAAGATGCGCTCATAAAACCAGTGACCCAGTGTTAGAGCGACTGGAGTGTTATGATTAATGTTTTATTTCCACTTCTGCTATTCTGAAATTGCGCTGGCATTTTTAATGGCTTCTGTTTCAGTGTCTTTTATTAATATAAATGGCCAACAAGTTTATGGTTTTGAAGTTTATGTACATGAAATCAATAAGTAGATAAATAATGCCTGCCAGCTGGTTTTGTCAAATTTTCCTCCTCCACATCCTGGCCAGAAACCGTTAATCTCCAAAATCAGCCTAAAGGTTCTGATTAATGAGGTTTATTAGAAAGAATGGATTAAGTTACAGTTCAAGAATACCAGTGATTGATTTACTTTCAAATAAAGCCTCTTTCTACCCTGGCAGCAAATCTTTCTCTGTTTGTTTGTTTGGATTTTTTTTCGGTGCTCTTGCGATGCATCGAGCTGGCAAAAAGGAGGAGGCTTGGCCAAACTCTACCTCTTCGTAGTTTGGGTAACTGCCGATTCCCTCATCAGCCTGGAAAATAATTCTCACATGTTTAGTAGTCAGGTTCTTAGTAAAACCATCCACATCTCTGTGTGTGATATGTCTATCGATCAATCACAGTGTTTTTCAAACTTGGCAACTTTAAGATGTGTGGACTTCAACTCTCAGAATTCCCCAGCCAGTACAGTGTGTGTATGTGTGTGTGTGTGTGTGTGTAAATAAAAGAAAGGTGGGGTAAAAATCTAATAATAATTTCCACCGTTTTTATCAGAATGGAATGTACATTCCACCTTCCCTGATGCTCTCAGAGACAGAAACATACAGATGTTACATTATGTCATGCCCCCACGTAGCAGGTTTACCACAACTTCCATACACACACCCCACCTTGGGGGGTGAGTAGTACAGGGAGTCCCCAGTTGAAGAACGAGTTCCGTCCCCAAGATCTGTCCTTCCGTCGAATTTGTATGTAAGCTGGAACACTATTACACAACAAGTGTATAATACTGTTGTGTATGTGTATAAGTTGTACGTGTATAAGTAGCATTGTGTAATGAAGTCAAACCATTGTGTCTTTAACTTGAATCGTTGTGTGTTTAACTCAAATGTTTTGCTACCATAGGCTCCGTTCTTAATTATGGGTCGTCCATAACCCGGGCGGTCTTAACCCAGGGACCACCTGTAATATAAAATCCTGTAAAACCTCATATATGTGGGCATGATATAACATGGCATCAGTATCTCTCTCTGAGAGCTTAAGGGAAGATGGATGGTATATATCATTCTGATATATAGAATTATTATAGAATAAGAAGGCAGACCCTAAGTTTCATCCTTATTGGGAATCATCAGGTAAATGTAGCCAGATGTTGTTCTATGGGATTCAAACCCTCTACTGAGGGATGAAATATATAGATTTCATCCTGCAACACTACTGAGCACTGAGACCTGGATAACTCCTAAAAACAGTGCGCTGATATAGTCATCTAAAGTGCAGTGGTCTGAGTTCAATTCTCAGTAGAGGGTTTGAATGCCGCAGAACAACATCTGGCTACATACACCTGAAGATTCCCAATAAGGATGAAACTGGTCACTTAAAGTCTGCCTTCCGGCGGTCCATATAATTTTCACTGGTTTATCCATCAAAGTAAACCATGAACAGTTTAGTTTACTCTTGACTTAGCACGATGAATGAGCCCAGCTGCTATGATTTGTAAACCATGATTTACAACTGAACATACTGTATGAATGAATCCAACCCATTGTGCTATATTACTCAAATTATGGCTAAAGGAACCACAGCTAAACACAATGTTGTTACAAATTGGGGCTTCCTACAGCATCAGTTCCAGCAGGACCTTGAACACTATAGTTATTAAATAGGTTCCTGAGTTCTAGGAATCAAAAAAATAAAAGCATAATTAATAACCAATAAAAACAATAAACAGCAAACTCAGGGAGGCAGTGAAGGACAGGAAGGCCTGGCGCAATATGGTTCATGGGGTCA